CACACACATTGTTGAAAGCCAAGAGAAGCTGCACTTGGTGGCACATCTTGTGGCAGAAGCGCAACCTAGCTGTCCAGTAAAGAGAAGAGCTTGGAAAGAACAAACATGACTGTGGAAAAGATTCTTGGAAACTGAGAAAGCTTTCCCACAGTGAAATAAAAACAGAAAGAAACAATCCAGGATGTTCATATGTAGGAATTCCTTTCTTTATAAGCTCCCCTTTTCCATGTTGCACAAGTTCTAAATCACATTAATTCCAAATTCACCTTACCTCTAAAACCTATGACATTGCAAGTTTTAGGCACTCTATCATTAGCTACGCACACTTTGCTTTTCCTTGTTTTTCTTTGAAAGCAATGCTGGAACCACAAGAAACGTGCAAATGTAAGACCTTAGAGTACAGTTCTTTGCTCAAGTGTGAGTTCTAGAGACAGGGAATAAGCTCTGATAGTATTTTACCCTCAGCAGGGACAATACACAGCAGCAACCGAGGTGATTTGTGTGACACTGTGCAGAAGTCAAGACTCTTTGTCTTGGATTAGCATGGCAAAGTTACCATGTTTAAAGAGACTTGGCATCCAGCCTCTTTTGGTTTTCTACCTGTGTCAACAACCAGCAGGAGAAATGAACCAGCCAGCAGTTTCTTTGCAGACAGGCCCTTTGCTCCAGTGTGAAAGTGCTGGACTGGCAAGGGAGGAGGGACGTGGGGGAGAGCTGAGCTGCTCTATTGGATTGGCATCCAAACTGCAGCAAGAGTAGCAGTTGAATTCTTTTCTTTGAATCCTATCCGCAGTCTCAGATTTTCACGCAGAACCGCACAAGAAAACATCAACAGCCCCGGTGCCGAGGGCACGGTGCCGCGCACAGCCCCACCTCCCCACCCGGAGCCGTCAGGAGAGGAGCACTGTCCCGCAGGGGCTGCATTTCTCCCTTCTCATCCACTCCTCTGCCCTCCAGCACTGTCCCGCAGGGGCTGCATTTCTCCCTTCTCATCCACTCCTCTGCCCTCCCTCATGGCTGGCTCTGCCTGGCACTGGCAGGCTCCTCATTCAACACTTCCTAATGCTCCAGGGGAAAGTCCGGACAGCGCTTTGCTTGTGAGGAAGAGATGGCAGTGTGGGGGGTGAGTAGGCGGGATGAGGTCCAGGGGATGCGAGCATCAGGGGAAAGTTGCAGGTTGCCGGAAATAAAAGTTATAGTGTAGTGAAGAAGAAGCTAAACGAGACGGTGGATATGGCCATGGAGGAAGAAAGAGCTGCTCCATGATTCCATCAGAGCCTGCTTCGGCCTGGCAACGAAGTGGCCAGTGCTGCCCCGGGGCGAGCGGGGCTCGGCCAGGGGCCCTGTGGGGCAGGGTGGGTTCAGCGCAGGAAACAGAGCATCCCAGGATGGGTGAGCATTTCCAGACCCCTGGCACAGCACCAGCTCCACTCTCAGCATCGTGGTCTTCCTGCAGCCCTATGGCATCCACGTGACCCTGGAGATTGAGCTGCTGGACAAGATATCCGCTGGATTCTGTGGTGTTCATCTCCTGGAATGGTTTGAGCTCCACAACAACTTCTTGTTGGTGATGAAGCAGTGCCAGGACCTATTTGATTTCATTCTGGTGTGGGAGATCCTATCAGAAGAGCTAGGTGGTGCAGGAGCTGCTCTGCCAGGTGCTGGAGGACATGTGGTGTTATAAGTGTCATAAGAAATCTAATTGTTGTAACATGTTGATTAATTGTTGATGTCTGGGTTATAAGTTACTAATTATTCAATAGAAAATGTTCCTAGTCGTTAGTTAACATTTGTTGTTAGGGAGTTTGTGTTCTCGTGGGTTTAGAAGGGAAGTGGGCAAAGTCCGGTGATTGGTGTGGGGGCAGTCAAGTGGAGATGGGATGGTGCAGGGCTGGTGGGGTATTGCGCGGTGGTAAGTTAAAAGAACACTCCAGAACATGATGTGCCAGGGGTGATGTCTGCACCAGAAACAACCATTGGTGGAAAAGCCAACCAATCACTCGACGCCCTGGGGGAATGATTGGTCTGGAGTGCACCACGCTAAAGACCAATGACAGCCCGGGAAATGGACCAATCAGAGGGCAGATTGAAAATGGACCAATCATGGACAAGGGGGCATCTATAAAAGGAGCATCGAGCTTCCACTTGGGGTCCTCCTGCAGAGTTTGATTTAAGGGAGAGTGTTTGGCATTGCTATTGCAGAGTTCAGGCTTGTCATGGGCTCTGGCCTCTGTTGGTGTTTTCCTGTAGTTTGGTTAATAAAGGGTTTGCCTTTGTTTTTCTACCCAAAAGTCTGAGCCCATTTATAACAATTTTTGGGAACTCGTCTGGAACTATCATGCCGGGGAGCAGTCTCGGCATAGGACGGATTTGGGTGCGCATGTATTTTTTGTCCCCCTGGACTACATCGAGACCATGGAAGGGACAGCTGATAGGACCCGAAGACCAGCAGAGGCACAGCAACCCCACCTCGAGAGGGAGCGAGGCCCACGACACACGGGTTGGTGTGGTGGGTGGGGTCTGAGGGGAAGGGGCTGTGAAGTGAGTGTGAGTGTGAGTGAGACAGGGGCTGTTAATAGAGACTCCAGAAGCAAGTGGGGCCTGCTAGCACCGCGTTTCCGGACTCCCGCGAGTGGGCTGACCGAGAACAGAGGGAAGCAATTGAGATTGAGTGAGTGGACTCCTAGAATCTCAATTTAAAAATCCTGTTTAGGGGATTTTTAGGGAGCTCGTGGGAGACAGGTAGTACCTTCCCTTACACCAGCCTTACTTGCAAAGGCTCCTGTCCTCCCAAAAGGAGGCTTGTGAGGTGCAGTTGATCTTATCCAGAACCCTCACCCCCTGAGCTAGGAATCCCAAACAGGGGGTTGGGAAGGGGAAGTCCCCTCTGAACTAGGAACCCAAGAGGGACTGCACCTTAAAAGTACATCAAATCCCACTTGATGCCCAGGGGCCTATCGGGAGAAGGCTGAGAGCATTCGTACTTGCAAGGTCCAGTGCCAGTATGCAAGATATCGATGTACACCCTGCTCTTAATAATTCAGACTTTGCCGGATAAATACATGCTACCCCTCTATTCCACTATTGTGACTATTCCTGAAAAATACAAAATAGCCCAGCTTATCTCTTTGATGTCTTGTGTTCCAAATACAGACCCCAAGGTGAGAGGAGACCAAGGCCTCAGGTCGACCGGTGAACGAACCTCACGTATTTTGGACCCAGGTTGCTGGCGATCAGAGGCCTAACATGGTGTGTACTATCACAGTGCCGTGGGCACAGCCCTCCCAAATAAAGGTTAGTGGAATGATTGACACAGGGGCGGATGTCAGCATCATCTCTGCCCAAACTTGGCCTTCATCATGGCCCACCACAGCTGCGGGATCCACTGTTGCTGGCCTCGATGGGACCACGCAGAGCTCTTGGAGCAGTAAGCCTGTGTTGCTGAAAAGTCCAGAGGGTCAGACAGCCACCATCTGACCTTACTTCACTGCAGTACCACGTAACCTCTTGGGGAGGGATGTTTTATCTGCCTGGGGAGTCCAGGTGGGGACAGATTTTTGATGGGGCTACTGTTTGAAAGGGCTGTTTGAAATCTCATACACTAGTTTTAAAATGGTTACCTCTCAGCCTCTGTGGGTACCAAAGTGGCCCCTAGAGAAGGAAAAACTACATGCCCTGAAGTCTTTGATACAGGAGCAGCTGGTTCAAGGGCACCTAGAACCCTCCACAAGCCCTTGGAAAACCCCGGTGTTCGTCATCAAAAAGAAGTCGGGGAAATGGAGGTTGCTCCAGGACCTGAAAAAAATCAGTGTAGTCACAGAAACATGGGAGCTTTACAACCTGCTATGCCATCTCCCACAATGCTTCCTGCCAACATGGACATTCTGACTGTGGATCTAAAAGATTGTTTCTTTCCTATTCCACTACAGCCAAATGATACCTCAAAGTCTGCCTGCACAGTGTCTTCTTTTAAGAACACTGCCCCTTTGGAGCACAATCAATGGAAAGTTCCTCCTCAAGGCATGAAAAATAGCCCTACCATTTGCCAATGGCATGTTGCTCGGGCATTCTCATCAGTAAGGCAACAATTGCCTTACTGTTATCATTATATCATGATATGGATGACATTTTAATAGCCACTCTAGCTAAGAAGATCTTTCACTAATTTGGCCGAGCCTGATATAAGCATGAAAATCATTTGGGCTGCAAGTGGCACCAGAAAAGCTTCAGCAGCAACCACCTTGGAAGTACCTTGGGCTCAAAATTATGCATCAGACTATTCAGCCCCAAACAATTCAATTCTCAACAAAAATTAAGAATTTCAGTGATGCTCAAAACTTCTTATCAA